AGTAAACGAGAGGTGACTTACGCGGGCGAGTAGAGGCATGCCGTGAGGTACATGTGTTTTGAGGAATCAGCCTCATTGCTGCACTGCTTTTGTGCGCACCCAAACGCAGTCGCTGGCGCCCACACCATCTGAGATTGAATAAACATTATATTAAAAGCTGATGATACATTTGTTGTGTTCAATGTTTCTAAAATTTTTTTCCTTTTACCTTACTACATGTTTATCTTACCTCTTCTTTGTCAGTATTGATTAGTTTGGTACAGACCTATGTATATTTCAGCTCTTTAAATATTCCCTGAATTTTTTTGGAGTGACTTCAAACTTTTCAACCTTTCGTACAAGGTGCTATACTAAAGAAATTTCATATTCATTCATATGCACCAAATTTAAAGACTTAGTGCTAGATTAATATGATAGTAATCAGTTAAGGCCCAATGCCTACTTGCTTGTAGTTGTAGCATTGTCCAGTGCATTGGTCACTGACATATTTGTAGTGTTGTTGTTCTGATGCAAAAGCGGAAAATACATCATAAAGCGAAGGTCTTTCACCTTTGTCATATTTTGCAATTAGTGAAACAGATTTTGGAAGAGCAGCAGGATTTGGAGGATTGAAGCGGCAGTCAGCCATCCAGTAACGTGCCATTGCTTCCAATTCAGAAGAGTAGCTCTAAGTGTCCATGTATTACTGTATCATAACTTTAACAATATGAGAAATGTATTGAAGCCATTTTAACAAACAGACAAAAACTTACAATCATCATCATGAACCTTGCCGGCGGTTCGACCGATTCGCGTATTTGTGCATGCAATTCTACAATTCTTTGTCGCTCTTCCTCCGTCGGGACTTCGGCAAAAATAACCGAAGTCAGAGCCAGCAAATAAGCCGCTCGCATCATCTGTCGTTTTGCCGTACAAAGTTTTATTCCTATAAGCAGCTTTTTATGTAATCCCTGAGGTAGCGCCTTGCGCAAATGAAGTGTAGTGTTCAGTCCTGTGTATATTTATGACTAGACTCCGCAAGATGAAATGGTAACACGGAAGGCGGCACATAAAAAACACAGTCACATGGAACGTAGTTCGTACTTTATCAAATCACGTATTTCACATGCAGCCAGCCAAACGTCGCCACTTGTAACACAAAACAACTGTTCCATTTAGGTACGACTGTCTAGAAGACAGTTCGCGCATTGGTCGACAGAAAGCACTTGTTTACTAGAACGTTTTTCATCAAATTCAAACAAGTTGAACAACGATGAGTGCACGCAATGTTGCCACATTAGTAAAACGATGTAGTTTGACTAGCTCATTATCAGATTAGTTTTTTGTAAGTTGATTAAGATTATGGGATTCACAAATGTCATACCTTCTACCTGACTTAGTTCTAATTCCAGTTAATCATCGCATATTGAGGATCCTTCAGTGGTTTTTCCGAACTGCAATCAGGTTTAACAAGTTAAAAACTGTCATTATAAACCAAAATTAATTCCCAAGAAAAACAGGAATCAAGTGAGTGATACCTGATTTCCGGTTCAAAAATCAGCTTTTCCTACCAATTCAGATTACTCGTGAGATTTAAAAAATGTTTGATTATTATTATTTCCAAGGGTATTTGTGAGATCCAATTTCTTTAAAAACATTATCTATGAAAAATGCGCAAAAGCTTAACGTGTTCAATAGCGGTGTCAGTAGCGGAGTTTGCGTGCTGATCACGTTGGCGTCACCAATTTGTAGTGAGCCTCGGTGCGGTTTTAGAAACCACCTTAGGGCCAACAATCTACATTGACACGGCCTGAACGAAAGTAGAGCAGAACTGCAGATAACCAGTAGCTCAAGCAATTTATTAAAGCAGTAGCGGAGTGTGTTGTTGCTTTACAGGATAACAAGTGGGTTTATATAGCTTCGCTAAGCACCGATCTCTGAGCGAACGAAGTTGCGTGAAGTGCATTCACAAAGACCGACTGAATCGTGTTCTCTGACGCTTGCTAACTGCGTTAGCTCTTGATTGATAAATGCGCTCGCCACAAGCACTTGTGACCACGTTGTTATGCTAATACTTTAGATTGCACACGGTTTCCTGTTTATGTAGCATGAATTAACCGTGGAATATAAATAATATACACTGCTTCACAACACTCAACAAAGCATTTGCCTCAAAAAATTATCAGTTAGCTGAAAAACAAAAATTTTGTGACAGAAGTCTTTGGTAATGTTTCCGTTAATGACGACGCTATTAATAACGTGATATATTGCGTGATGCTTATGTGTGGTGTCATAGCGGAATTTGCGACCGAGGAAGAACGAAAAAAATTACGATCGCATACGTAGCTTCGTGCGTCGGTTGATCACCACCACGCAGAATGATGTCCATGGTAGTTTATAAGTGGAAAAACATTTCCAGCATTTTGGTTGACATATTACTGGAATCCAGACTAAATAGCCATTTACCAACAAATGTTTTACCTGTGGGTCTCCTTGCATTGGCAGGCTGTAATGTACAGACTGTTACATTGCGTGAGTGGTATGTGTGTACTGGCTTGATTGGTCCATCGACCTACCCACATTTTGTTGGCTGCAGTTAGCAATCGCCTGTTCTGCCTATCCTCTTAAGTTTTTAAGAAGAAGTAACTGGTGGGTTGCAAAATAGTAATAAAGAAAGTCACTAGAAGGTGTCAAACTTATAGCGACTTTAAATGTACCGCCTATTTCATTTTGCGAGAAATTGAATTTGTTTGGTTTCTTCTTCAAAAGACCATCGGTCATTTAAGCAAGCACTCACAAAATTGCTAAGGCTTTTGTAGGTAATATCATGGCTATTAATTCGTATTTACTAATTTAATTGTAATGAAGATTAAATGAGAACGTTGTATCAAACTTAGTCAAGTAGACTACGGTTTCCTTTGACTATTGGTGCATTATTCATAGTGACATACAGCGCAAAGGCAGAAACATTGATTTCCTAAATTGACAAACGATAGAACTATAACTTACGTTTTTTTTTATTTCCAAAGCAACTTCAGCACCTGTTCGATTCACGTTCATTCTATGAGTATGTTCATAACTATCTCACCACTAACATTTTGACTTATATCATAGTTTTGCTATCACTTTGGTCTTGGTATTGTAACACATGACAGACGTGTCAGCTACCACACAATAAACCCTTTGAAACAGTATTAACATTGGCCAGTGAAGTTGATATTGATTTGGATAAGCCGATAAAAAAATTGGGACTCTGCCACAAACGTCTTGGTAATTATTTGCTTTGCAAGAAATCCAACGTCCAGATTATATACTTTTCAGGACAATTAACAGGTCATTTCACCTGAAGTGTCCCGTGAATTGCACAAATTCCAAAGCAAATCTGCTTGTTAAATAGCAGCATGACTCTATTTTACAATTTCTTACCTAAGTAGTTGCTTTTAATCCCATTCCGCTAACTTGAAATCAGAGACCAATCGGACTGAGATTTGATCTGTAATCTATTACTTTCTTAAGCTCAAATTCAACTGAATTGAGGTTATATAACGAAGGAATTATTGTCAAAGGATTGTTGATAGATAGTTCTATGTCGATGTTCCAATGTTCTAATAAATGTTAGCTTCATGCGCCCTAGACAAATACATGTGTAGTAAAATTGCCACATATCTGTTTCATTTCACATACATAAAGCCAAATCATTTGTTGTCTTTGCATAACTTGCCATTTTGTTTCCTCAATATGACACTTCTAGAAGCGGTGAAGGTTTTTAGAGCAAGTTGCAGTTAGTGCCGGGTAGTACGTTGAAGTCTCCGAAGTTTATTGAGTAAATTGTGACATGATAAGTAAATTATTTTTAGGATACCTTTCAGCGGTAGCGCTGTTAGTGTTGGCCAATTCAGCTATCTTTTGTGTTTAGATAAAAAAAGCATAATGGGCATTAATAAAGTTAGAAAAAACTTGAAATACCTTAGATTTCTGCTTTTCGCTGCCCAGTTTTTTTCGGTCTATTTGACTTAATGCATGCGTGTTCGAAGCTGAGTTGGTTTAGCATGAAGCAAAAGCGTCAACCCCTACAATATGCCAAGACTAATTTCAATAAATTGATTGGAACTAAAACGTTAATTAATAAAAACTAGTAGGCACAATAAAGAAGAATGCACTCAAGTTATGCAATCTACCGAGATTTATTACCATCTACAGAAACGGAAGAAGCTAAAGAAGAAACAACCTGTTAGGCCCTATTTTAGTGCTAATAAAAAGTTTTTTGGCAAGCGTTTAATGCGTGTTCAAATCGTGACTTGATTAAAATGAGGTAAATGCACTTATCATAAGGATAGCAGGTTTGTCTATTTAAGTCAATTAAACTTACACGTAACATAAAATTAATTACTTAGGTGATTTGATCTGATATTTGTCCTGCTGGGTACAGAAATTTGTGTATAGTTTCGACAGTTGATTTTTGAATATGCTATTCAAAACCAACCATCATTTATTAATTTATTTCATATTTTGCTTGTCCGAATATGACATTTTGCAAGTAGAATTTAAATAATTATACAGCATTAATACATAGTAAACTTAAAAAATTGAGACTTAAGACTTAAAATTGCTTTTGTTGGTTCCACCTCAGCATGAGATAATATACAAATGATTTCAAATGGAAAATACAAAATGTTGTTGCACAACATAAAACACTAACCTGTGCATTAAGTTCAAATTTGATTGGTTCTAAGTAGTTTGTAAAGAAGTAATGTTTAATTCAGCATAACTCTAGACATTGTTGAATGAATGGTGTTGCTTAACTAGAAGTGTCGTAGCATTTCTACAAATTCAACCACTATATTTTCATTCCTGCATGCTATTTTTAGTCGTATGCACCATCCGATATGAGAAACGCTCGCGCATTGTGAAATGTACATAATTTTGTACATCAATTTAATAAAATATTAATTTTTGCTTTTATGTAACACACCTGAATAGTAAGTCATCTGAATTTCATTTACCAGGCAATTCTTTCCTGATTAAACTTCCTTAAATCAGCACATCTTTATTTACTTGGAGTTAAACGAGAAACACCCTAGTCATGTTTATAGGTTTTCAATAGAAGTTTACATAAAAACATCTGGTGGAAATATATTAAAATATTTGTCCGAACTGAGGTCTCATTTAGGCACCATAAAAAATTACTGAATTATAAAATTTTTCCCACACAATGGAAGAGTCGCATTGTTATCACAAACATTAAATTCCATGCTCAAACACTCTTCCTTCTCACCGATGCTAACTTTACTTATCTAGCACAAGACGTTTAATTTACGATTATTGCCTTTACGTGCGGATCTGCAAAAATCTTTCGTTTGTATATACGGTTAAGTGATCTTGGATCAGCGAGGTTAGTGGCTAACACTGCGTTATGTGTTGTTTATGTGGACATCGATGAGGCAGAGATTGACAATATTTTGGGAACATGTGAATAGGGCAAAGTCTATACTTTTCACAAATCTTACTGTGTTTTAATCAAGTTGTCCTGAGAAATATTGATATCTTTATAAGTGTATATAACAGAAGCTGATTAATCCTTATCATGCCAACTTGCCAAAAAAGAAAAACCAAAAATAATCTCTAAAGTAAAAGACGTGTACTTGCAATCCAGAACAAGAAATATTGCTAAGATCAATTGCATTAGCAGTAAATGGTGAAGGGTAAATGTATACTATTATCGAGATGCTTACTCCTTTTGAACAAAAGGTAATATTGTTCCAACAAAACTAATACAAATATTGGAATGGGATAACATGACAGATATTGCAAGCAGGATCAGGAATTGGAATCCGTTGACCTAAATGTGCTCAGTGGCATTCTAGATGGTAGAGGACATTATTACGTCAGTGATCTCAAAGACTCCAAACTCACCTAT